GTTTTTGTTCTTCCTATTGTTTCTTTTTCATTTTGCCGTTCAGAATGTTGTTAAATAAACCGCAAAATTAAAGATATTTTTTATTAAAAAAAGATGTAAAGAAAAAACAAGCAAATTTTTGGGGTGAAAAAATTTTATGGAATAATGGAAATCGTTTTTCTTTCCACATATTATAACATGGTATAAATTTCATAGGCTATATAATAAAAATTTTTAAAGAATGAAGAATGATTTTCTTAAGGATTAAATTTATCTACACATGAATGTATTATGTAAAACGTACCCGTGTAGTTATAGATGATCATAAATATAATATTGTGTGTAAGTATAAAAAAAATTTCCTTAAGGCTTGCTATCAATTTATCATGCATGTCGCACACATATAATATTGTAATGTAGATATATTATATGAAATGTGAAGTAAGAATTGTGGTTAATAATTACAAAATCTATACATATAAATATTAAACTGTTATTCGATTAAGGATTATATTTCAAAACTATAGTAGATTATTTGCGCAAAAACTTTATGAAAGCTTTAAAAATGCATTGAACGTATTTGAGTTGAGTAAAAACCAATGAACTTTTCTATATATACCACTTAAGACATACGTTTGCCATTCGAATTTATGAGCAAATTTATGAGATGTTTGTTTTGGAACAAACTAACAGAAAACCTCATAGTAATAGCAAATCAAGTATTTAATTTTAACATCAACTAAATTAAAGTATTTTAGTGATTAAAGTATTTTCGGTACACACAATATTTTTCCCATTCTAAAGTCAGGATAATATAATTTCACTTGAAAATTATGGTAACTAGTAAATTTCTTATAATAATTACTATTGCAAAATAAATTTAATGAAGTAAAATTACCCTAACCATAATGAAATTTTAGTGATCTGACTGAAACTGTATTTGAAAAGAAATTTTAACAACTACTAACTCATTTCAAATCATCGAAATAGAATTTTCTCAAAATATCATAACGTTCCATTTTTTAGTATTTTTTGCCTAGCATTATATTTTTTTGTATTATACAAAACTAACAAAATCTTATTGTTAAATGCTAAGATGATCTGACTTGATTACAAACAATAGCAGCTTTTAATAGCATAACAAAAATTGAAAGGAAATCTAAAATCCTTGATAAATTTTTTATTATAACACCTGGATATTATAAGTTTTATTAATTACGGAAATTCTCTGAATATTTATGTGTACCTACCCACAATACTGTAATCCTTAATTTACATACATGAGTTAATATTAATATTGTTTAAATATAACAATGAATTAACACCATTATGTATATAAAAATGTGAGTTACCCATATTAAGAAAACTTTTATACAAAAATTTTGTTTTTGCTCAAATTTTATCAATAATTTAATCGAATTTATGCGATTAATTTGAAAGGTGTATCCTAACATTTCCTAAGAAATAATAATCATATTCAAAAAGGGGAAATTTTATGTCGGTATGTAACAAATTAATTTGAAATGGGTTTTAGTAATTTTTATTTAAATAAACAAACTAATAAATATGATGGCTAACCCTTGGTTAACCATCATATTGGTTTGTATTTTAATCCTATTTTATAAAATAATAATATCTATAGAATTTAAAGTATATAGATAAAATGAATTAAAATTGTTATTAATGTTATATTATCTATGTTTATTGTGTACATATATGTACTTAATTGTGTACCTCTTTATATTTGAATATGAAAATCTTACGATTGATTTCATTTTTATTTCTAAAATGAATTATTCCTTAATTATTATAAACTTTTGTTGCATTTTGAACTGATTATTAATTCCCTAACTTATTAATATACTAATAGCTTTTTTAAAATCGAATGTTGAAAAATTATTTTACCACAGAATATTTTTTCGAAAAAACTATTAATAAATGCTTTGACATTTCCTAAAATAATATCCCGGATTTTAAAAATTCAGTAATACTATACATTGCTAAAGTACTATAAGCATGTTGTATTGAAATAAATGAGCATGTCGTACATGTTGCTGAATTAATTTTTATTGAATTAATCGGAAATGTCAATCGGATCTCAATTTACAAGTTGAAACTACTATACTCATATTTAATATCTAATTCGTCTATTTCAATAGAAAATTCAATAGAAAAAGGAAAATAAGACATAAAATTTGAGCTTAAAAGAGCACATTCTAATACATATATATGCATACATTTGTGTGTGAAATATATAGAGACATTCGTTTCTTTTAGGTCACTATATAAATTCAAAAAGAATTTACTGATAATAAAGTAAAATCTATATTAACTTAATTACTATACCATTTTAATTATTAAAGGTTTGCAGTAACTATCTACATAATATTTCTTAACAAAAATGACATGTCGAATTAAATCAGGGAAAGGGTACGAACGCACACACCAACCAAACAATTTGAATGTTAAAGTTTTCAACAAAATTGGATAATTAAAAGAGATGAAAAGTGATAATGAATTCGTGTAAAATAAAGAGAAAAAAAAAGAAAGCAACAACAATGAGAAATAATGCCGATACAAAATAGAGAAAGAGGAAAAAAGAAGTAATAGTACAGTAGAGTAGAGAGTAGAAGGAATAAAATTATAAAAAAAAAAAAATTTCAAGGGAGAAAAACAAAACTTTGTATTTTTTTGCTGTCTAGACATTAAGCGAAATAGAAAATATTTTGACATAAATCCTTTTTCTTTTCCTACATTTTCTTTTTCTTTTCCTCTATATCGTTCTGTTATCATCACATATAGAGGGAGAAAATAATACAAAAAGAGAGGAAAACCAAAAGACTAAACCGAATTTTCATGATTTTCTTTTTTTTTTGTTTAACATATTCTGCTTCATTTTTTAATAAAGAGCAGGGAATTTAAAGGGAAATGAGGTGTACGTATCGTAAAATATTATACACGTGATTTATTATTGAAGAAAATTGTTATGTTACGAATTAGGTTAATAACACATAAACTTTTATGACTTGTGAGTTTTCATGAATATTTTAATATTATTTTATTTTTTTAACATATTTCATAGTTTTTAATTTTTTTTTTTGTTTTTTTTTATTATGCTTTTGTTTGATCAAATCTTTATTGTAGCGCATAAAAATTTTATAACTTTGAATAGGAGCACTAAAAAAGTCGTGGTTATTTTCTTTAATTGTTTTAATAACCTTTACTAAAATACGAATAGATACAATAATCATACGTGAATATTAAATATAAAATAAACATTAAAGAAATTAACAATATTTTAAGAGTACTAATAAACTGTTTTTTAATACAATCAAAGATTATGTTTTTAGTTTAAACTATATTATTTTACTTAAGTCGTATGTTAAGCATGTACGAATAAAAATTATTATGCAAACAGAAGATTTTTATTTAGGATATGGGAATATGATTTCATTCAGAATTTTAACTTTGATTTCATTTAAAATTGTAAAGAAATTAATTCTAATATCCTTAAATATGCCTTAATTTGTATAATTTTCAAAATTGAAATAGAAATGAGCAAAACAATGATCATACAAATACAGCAGGTAATTAAACTTGTACAAGTGTAAAATTTAAATTAATTAATAAGTCTTTGGAAAATTCCGGAAATATTTTTTCATTTAGTGCCTTCTATTGTGAAATTACCTTGCTTAATATTTAAAAAGAACAAGCTGCGCATCCTTATAGGTTTAAACAATTTTCGTTCATACATTATTATTTTTAAATCTCTTTTTGACTTTCATATAAAAGAAGAAAAAATTAACAAAATTTATGACGAGAAAAGAAGCCATCATGCATTGTTTGTCTGCTCATAATATCATTTTACAGTCTGATAATTACACAAGACGATAACAGGAAAATTTACTATTCCTTTTCTCTTACATTGTTTTTTGTTTTGACATTTTGTTTTTTTTTTCTTTTGCTCTATGATTTGTCATACAAATTTAATATTACAAAGTGCAATTAAATTTTTACATTTAATGTGCATAATGAATTAAAAAAGGATAAAAAATAAAGTAGGACTTGAATAATAAGTGAAAATAACGCATACTATGTTTGTATGTATATAGGTTAAGGAACTGTTTTATATTTTGAAATTCAAGTGATATTAGAATTAAGAACAATAGAATTTTATATAAAAAATTAGAACATTCTTTGGAAACTGTGTCTGTATTTTGTATTCTTTATTTTCTGAATAGTTTTGACATTATATAGATCCACACATCTTCCATCCAACTGATGCAAATTTTACATGTTTTAAATTGTGATGATTAGAAAAATTTTAATCATGTAAATACCTACTTATTTAAATTTACATAAAGAGAAATCCTGTTTATTTTATTTTATTTAATTGATAAAGCTAGAAATTTTTATTTTATTACAACAATATCAGATAAGTTTTGTTATAGATAAACAGCATAAACTTGAGATTTTACAGGACGTTTTTTCTCCCTTCTTTAAAATAAATCAATAAATATATGTATGAGTGTAACCTTAAAATGCCTTAAATTAAGAAAATTACATAATGTTAAATTTTCCAATCTGTGTATCTTTAAATAGCCCTTTAATAAAAACAAAATTAATTATGCTAAATAATTATTGTTGTTTGTCATATTACAATGTATTGGCAACAATAAATATACTAATTTATTTGTAATTCTCAAAGAGAAAAGAATTTGTATAAGATGGAGTGAAAAACTTTCAAAACATTGACTGGTGCAACAAATCAGTGGATTAATTATGACTTGAATTTAATTTAATTAAATCCTGTTTTTCTTCACTTTCTTTTCATTTCTTAAAAAATGCAATTCTTTCATGTAATTTTAATATTTAAATTCAAACATTTTTTATTTTCTATATACATACATACATATGTACATAAATACGTTAATACATTTACAATATTAAATATTATATTTACACCTACGCCTATAATTGAAAATAAAATTTTTAATTTTATTTTTTTTTTATATTTTCAGGGCTTACGTGGTAACATGACAGATGCTTGTGAAAGACACGATCCGTGTCAACATGGTGGTATTTGCATATCAACTGATTCCGGTCCTTTATGTGAATGTCGAAATTTAGAATATGAAGGACCTTATTGTGAGAAAGGTAAATTTAATATAGAAATAAAACCGAAAAATTCTTCTATATTTTTTAAGAGAAGACAAAAACTTTTCAAATATTTTCTTTATTTGTTTAAACCAAACAACAAAAATAGCATAAAAAGTTTAAAAGAATTAAAAAAAATTGAGAATTAGAAGTTTTTACAATTTTTTCAACAAACAAGAAACCAAAATAACAAAATAAAAGAAATGCTATGGTATCCTAGGATTTTTCTAAGTATACAAAATGTGTCTCTTATACAAGAATTCGTTTCGTGTGTATTTTATCCCACAATAAAAAAATTGTCTAGAATATTTTTATATAACGAAAAATCCTATTGTGTTGACTCTATACACAATATCTGAAAATAAAATATTTTATAATATAATAACTATATTATATGTATGTGGTTTCCATTAAAAATGAGGAGTCTATTATTATATTATTAAGAATAATAAACGATTCAAATGAATTTAATGGGAGAAATGCATAACAAAATAATTCTTTAAAATAAAACATGTAAATATCTTGTATATGTATGAGTCCTTTATAATACAAAAAAAAATTATATTTTCCTTTTAAAATAACCTCAATAGATTGAGAGGACAGTGAGAAGATAACAAAATATACTTGGATTATTTTTCTTATTTTATTATTTTTAATTTCCGGGATCTTTTCTGGGAATGGAACATGTTTTATTTGAATTTCAAAAATTATTTTGTATAGGATATTCTTCAGGTATGTTATAGAATTTTCAGAGTAGAATATAACTTTAAGCTAGATAACTAGAAAATGAAATACAAAAGAAAAATACTGAATGCTTGTGGTGAGAATTCCTTGAAAATATACTTATTTGTTTCCTTTATATTTTATATTTTTATTTTCGCTACACACGAAGTTTTTTGTTATTTAATATAGAATAAGAACTGGAATAAAAATAGGCTTGAAAACTTTTATATAATTTTAATAATATTTCGCAATCTAGTTATAATACATATAAATTTTCCGAGAAGAGTCTTTTAAGAATTTTTAATATAATGTGCTCAAACAAATAAGGCCACCTATAAAAGTTTTTAAAAATATTTTAAGTTAAGCTTATTTAAAATCGTTTATAAAAATTTGAAAGAATTATTAGTTGTTTGTGATAAAACACGCGACAGTAGGTATGGTTGGTACGAAAACATAAATGTTAGTAATCTGGGAATGAGCCGTTGATATTATTTATGATAAACGATTAGTTTATAATTTCATTAAATCACTGTTACGACAACATAAAATTAAGCCCCACATTACTAGGCTTGCCAGCAAATTTACAGTAGAAATTTGGTACTTCTTGCTTGTCCTTTACATTTATATTTTTGGTAATACACAAAAATTTTTTTTTTAATTTTATTTTTTTGAATCAATTTTCGATTTTGGAGCTGCATTATTTGAAAAAGGTCACTATTTTATTTAAAATTACAAACCAGTGTCTTAGGTGCAGACCAAAAACTTTTTCCACTTTGACCTCATCAAAAGTATTTTTTTTTGTAGGTAACCCAAAATTGAAATCGTAAGTTATCGATCACAAAAACGACTTTAAGCGGGGATTTACTGTACTAAACCTGTAAACCTTATTTTACTGGTATTTTAAATACCAAGAAAATAACATTTGTTCAACATATTGCATTAAAATATTTTTTAAATATAGCTATATTAAAATAATTATGATCATATGTTCTTATAAAGAAATAAAAATGTTCCTATCTTAATAATTTTGATTGGATATAAATTGAAAACTTTATCAAATTATAATCTGTGCTAGTAAATTTATTGCTTATTTTACATAAACGCCATTAAACAGATTTTCCATTTTTTTCTATTTTCCTTTTATTATGTCTATGAAAAACTGTTGTTCACTATTTATATTATACATATTTCGATATTAATACATTACAAGGATGTAATTTATTGTTATTACACTATAATTTTATTATACGTTATTCATATAGAAGTGTTTGATAAACTATCAAAATAAGTGTGTATATAATATAGCCACCGTAATAATGATATCCTTGAAAGCATCACTATTATCCATTTATCCAAATCCTAGCATACTTATAGTTATCTGTACGATTTGTTTATAAAAATATATGTACAATAACGTGTACACATTGAATGTTGTATTGGAATTGAAGTAGGCACATACCTACATATTATATATTGAATATTTGATATAAAAATATTATATGAAAATATAAAATAAAAAAAGAAACAACAATAAAACAAGATTATTATAGCAAAGGAAACTACGCAAATTTTCGTAATTATATAGCCTAAGTACACTAATGAATTATAAGTACAAAAAATTCTCGAGTATAATATTAGATAAGCTATATTGCAGAGCATCAAACACATAATAATCAAATATTGTATAGGTGCAATGTATGTTGTGTCCATACATACAATACATACTGTTAATTTATTGTAATTATATGCATTTTATAATAAATTATTCCATTTACTAAAAATTAAACAAAAATGTATTACAACGTCTGATTATACTTATACATATGTATATTTAGTTGTAACGAGAAAAAAAGTAGAGTTGACTTTGTCAACTCTGTGATACCCGTACGAATTTGTTGTCCTATGTGCGAATAACTAATGTGCCATAACTAACTATGGGGCAGACTATGACTTTAAGTTGCCGTATTACCATATTAATTTATGCAAAATTTCAGTACTATGTGTTTTTCAAAATACTGGTTGTGCCAAACTACTATTGAAGTTGTATGGCAGCTACCAGAAAGAGCCAAGAAATTTTAGCTAATTTTATCAAGCACATCGGCCCTACTAATATATTCATTCGTGTGAAATTTCAATACCATAGCTTTAATAGTTTCTGAAATATAGTCAAATAACTTTTGAAGTTGTATGGCAGGTACCAGAAGGAGCCAAGTGATTTCAACGACTTTTATCAGACACGTTGGCCCTATTAATATATTCGTTTGTGTGAAATTTCAATACCACAACTTTTATAGTTTCTGAGATATAGCCAAATAAATTTTGAAGTTGTATGGCAGCTACCCGAACCGGTACCCCGATCACGTCCAATTTAAATAGGGTTCTGGCACTTACTACAATAAATCATTTGTGAAAATTTGGTGAACTTAGCTCAATTCGTTTTTGAGTTATCGTTCGGACGGACGGACGGACGGACAGACAAAGCTAAATCAACTCAGAATTTGACGCTGATAAAAAACATACACTTGAGTCTATATCTAACACCGTTATTTCTTAGCGTTACAAACGGTAAGGCAAATTTAGTATACCCTTCGAACATACGTTCGTACGGGTATAAAAATTATGTTCATATGTAGACATATTGTATAATTATATTTTAAGTAATATCGTATGTGAATTTATCAGTTTTAAAATGTATGTTAAATTAAATGTGTTATGAGTACTTTACATACATACTTACTCGTGCTAGCAAACTATCATACTAGAGAAAGAATGATATATATAGATGTATATAAGTGTTTTTGCAATATATGTAATGCTCTCCTTACTTAATATGTGTTTGTAAATTATTTGACTAAGTGTGCTTTTAATAAAAAATGCATTTTTTTTAAAGCTATGTATTTCATATTTTCTTTAAAGGAAATGCATGAAAAATATTTAAGGAAAAATTTTTAGATGAAAATCTCTTAGTGTACATGAGAAGAAGAAATCAAAATAAGCTGTATAAGAATGCCCAAGTGACCCTTATCTATATCATAAAAAATTAGTTATACAAAGCTATAGGTTATAAAAGTATATACAACAAAATTATATTCTACCTATACACATCACTAGTTACGTATATTTATCAGATAAAAAAATATTGTGGATAGTAATATAAAAATATTTAAAATTTTTAAATTAACATAGTATATAATTTTTATATGTATAATTAGCACATTTTCCCATAATTAAAAAAATATGATTTTAGTTTTACTTTGTACATTTTTCCGTCAGATGTTTTAAAAGAGAAAGGTGAAATTTTATAATATAAGCAAGAGGACCTATTTTGAACTTTATTTAATTTTTTTTCTTTAAAAGTATCCTTAAAGTTTTAAAAATTTCATTTAAGACCATTAATCGTATCAACCATTTTTTAATTCCACCAAGGCAGAAGTAGTTTTTTCCTTGAACAATTATAGTACATAGTACATGTGTTTGTCATACCATCTTTTTCTCATTTTGTTCACACATAATAATATTAATCCTAAAAATAATTTAAGTAGAATATAGTTTAAAAAATATATTTTTCACATTTTTAAGGAAATTTACTACTTTACAAGCAATGAGTTTCATTCCAATGTATTTATTTTAGGAAAATTTTAATAAAAATTTAAAACTTTATTATAAGATAAATTTTGGAAAAAAAATAATTGTTTTGTTTGAGGCCAATTAAAATCAAATTAAGATTCATGATCTTTAGCTGTTATTGCGAGAACTTTATAATATACACACATAATATTTCTAGTAAAAAGAAGGGAAAAAAAAGTTGGAGACTGTTGTAATAATTTTTGTATTAAAAATTATTCTCTTAACTAATTATGAAAAATAATCTTAGCCTTAGGACAATGAAGTTTTCTGAAAATTTTTTAGTATTTTCTGTTCATCTTTTAAAAATTTAAATAAATTTTTGCATTATTATAGTGAGAATTCTAAAGAATATGTATGTACGTAAATATAAAACTTAATTATACATTAAATATGTATGTAATATTATATTTATTACAGTTTTGTCGTATGTATATAAATAAAATAGTATAATAAAATTTAACACCATTATTACTATAAATTAAAAGTTTTATACTGCTAATCAACTTTTCCAGCTAAACAAAAATGTATGTAGACAAATAATCGGAAAGTGAAAAAACTGCATAATAATTAATAATCATACTATGAGATTTTTTGAAATTGCAAATTAATTTGATTAGTGTTTAGATTATTTTAAGTGCGTATTATTGCAA